AAGATAAGATTTTTAGGCATATGATTAACAACATAGTAATCTACAAAGTATACTAAAATTGTTCTAAAAAACAAAATATTCTTAAAAGTTGTAATTACTTTATATCATATTATACAGAATTTTTGAAAATGGCGTACTTCAAAAAAATGCAATGAACAAAATCTTTTATAAATTAACAGTATTGCAAAACTTTTAGTTCCAATTGTACAACTAGATGCAATAAACATATGGTGAAAATTTTATGTAAATTGTCAGAGACAGAATTATTTATTTTGTTCCAGTTATTTTTAGTCATAGGGTACATTAAAAGTATGCATTTTTTTAATACTGAAAAACCTTGACCACATGCACGCATTGAATAAGCTATTCTATTATTTACATTAAAAGTTTTTTTCCCAGAACATGTCTATGAAGCATAAAATTGAATCTTTTCATAACAGTTAGAGCATATTGAGCTGAATCCTTTTTTTTTTGGGAAAGCATTCTGAAAAATTTATTTTTAATTGTAAACATTTTTTTAAACAAAGTTGTATAATTACATTAGACAAAGTTTCAGTATCAACAACTCGATAACTAACACATTTGTTTTTATTAGGCTGAGTTGTCTCAATTATCTCAATTTTTTTGAAGATATAGATAAATTTAAAGAAGTGTTACAAAAAATATGGTCGTTTTCATAACTAATTATTTGAATTTTCTACTTTGATATAGAATCAAACTAGATACTAGTTTGATTCTATATGATTTACCTATTGTTAAAAAAGTTTATGAAACAACAAAAAAATAACAAAACAGCTTGCAAATCTGATTAAAAACCTGTTACTATGCGTGATGTTACTATGCGTGATGTTACTATGCGTGATGTTACTATGCGTGATGTTAGGCAGATTAAATTAACCCAGTCGAAAGAATTGATTTATTCTCAAGAACTCAATCTTACTTTAAGAAATGGTTTTCAAACTCGAGTCAGCGATAAATTTTGTTATGATTTTTTAATATTCTTACACATTAAAGCTCCTTAAATAAAACCAACATACTTGGGGTTACAGAGACGTTATTTAAGGATTTTTCAAATACCAACGCAACTGATTATAATTTTTACTAAAAAGATAGAAGCAATGAAAGAAGGGAGGTGGCGTAGCGTTATATAAATATAACGCTACGCCACTTCCCTTTTTTCATTTCTTCTATTATTTTAGTAAAAATTATAATCAGTTGCGTTGGTATATAGACAACGTCTATATAAAGACAATATCTATATATTTATATATATATATATATATATATATATATATATATATATATATATATATATATATATATATATATATATATATATATATATATATATATATATATATATATATATATATATATATGCAATGTCAAATTTGTATTTACTCGAAGATATTTGTTTTACTTAACGTTAGGTTAATCAAGTTAAGACAATTGTATGATAAAATAAATATGTATGATCCAAATATTTAGTTTTATATATATATATATATATATATATATATATATATATATATATATATATATATATATATATATATATATATATATATATATATATATATATATATATATATATATATATATATATATATATATATATATATATATATATATATATATATATATAACATGCTTAGGGGCAATATCAGCAGGCATAGTTCAAACTCCCAGTGCTGAAATAAATTCTGTATTCAGCTCATTAAAAAGTCAAACTATATTTTTATTGCCACTATCAGTTGAATTTCTTGGTAATGTTAAAAGTAGTTGCAGTAAGTTACTATTGTGGTTTTTTATTTTTTAATATGGTATATTTGCAGTACACCTGTTTCCAATATAATTTTATTCTTTTTATATTTTATGTAAAACTATCAAAATGTTGGTGATTTTAATCTACTTAAATTGATTTATTTCTCAGGGAAGACATCTTCTCAGGCATCGAGGTCAATTCCAAAAAGATTAAACTACCTGGTGAAACTAAAGAAACAACAAAATGGACAAATACAGAGCTTCAGCGTGTGGTAATGCTGGAGCAGTTAAAACATTATCGGTTAAAAAATTTAAAGTTGAAATATACTACACCCCAACATGTATTAAATGAAGAGGAGATAGATATTGTTGTTGATATAAACGTTGATGGAAATAAAATATAAAAACGTGAAAATAAATTTTGGTTACTGTTAAATGTACAGTAGTTTTAAATTTACTTAAATTAAGTTTTTTTTTACCATGTATTACATTTTCAACATTTAAAAACGTTATACATAGTATTAAAAGAAGGCTGAATTAATTTAAATTAATAGAAGTATCTTTATACATTTCAGTAACTAAAATCTTCTTTAAAGTATCACTTTTTTATGTTTTATTTCAAGTTAGTTTTTATGTTTTATTTTATTTCTTAAATGTCAGTTATAACTTATTTAAAAATATTTCTTAAATTTAAAGCATAATATAATTATATTACCAAATAATGCATATTTTAGTATCCTAATAATAAAGATTTACTACATAAAAATATTATTATATTAAGTCTATAACATAATATAACTGTGAATAAGATATTAAGTCATAAACATATTATAACTGACATTTGAGAAACTTTTGTATGTTTTACTGTAAATAAAACTTGAAAATGTTAGCACATCTTAAAAATTCTTTAAATTAGTTATTTAACTTAGAAAACTTTGAAAGTATATTTTTTATAACATAAACAATACAATAAATTAAAAAATTATGTTGTTTTCAATTTGTTACAAATAAAAAGACATTGCACTTAATTTAAAAGACATTGTCTCTTTATTTAATATTGCCAATGCACTATAATTTCTACGCTGCTGACCAAGTAAACGAAGTTCCTTCAATTACAAGAACAATTTCTTCCACATTTTTATCCTCGAAAATTGTTTAAAGTTTTTGCAATATTGTGCAGTATAAAGTTCGCAGGGATACATGTAGCAATCATCTTCGGCTTAATTTTTACCTATAAAATTATCACACCGCAGATACTGTTGAATCAACAGTAACTGTATAACAACAGGGATACGGAATCCCAAAAAAGAATACGGATATGAAAGGCACAAAAAGATTATTTCTACCTTGTTTTTGGTTTCCAGGAGCTCTAAAAATATTAATAAGTTTATGGACTACTAATAGGAATAAAATTAAAACTTTTAGGTAAGAGGAACAATAATTTTTTGAACCTGGAGTCTTTGCGTATAATGGCGGCATGGACTCCGGGCTTAAAAGCAATAAGTTTCAAGTCAAAAAAACTCGCGAATGTTTTACTTATAGAAAATCGTAAGTCAACAAACATGTTTTGAGCTTCTGGACACTACAGACTTGGAAAAAGTAGAGATATAAAGCCGGAGTCTTTTTGGGACTTCGCATCCCTGCTGTTGATTTAATCAAACACTTTTCTATTATTAAACTCTTCAGCAAATTTTCCATAGGGTTTATTTTGCATGGGTGCAATCAATAGCTCCTATTGTACAGGGTTAGCCTCTTTCGTTTGCCCATTCCAGTTTTGCTCTTAAAATTTGTTCTTCCGTATTTGGGAAAACTATATACTGAAAAGTCTTAATCAAAATTTTTTGAAGCGTCAAAGAGTTTTTAAAACAGTATTGCTAAAATTATATTCCAAAAAAATAAATGTATCAAAAACGTGCTAGTATAATTATAAATAAATACATAACGTAAAAATATATAGATATATACATCAATAGTCAAAAAATAGTAAAATATATAGGTAATATAACAAAATCAATGCCCGATTATCAAAAAAAAAAAAAAAAAAAGCAACTATTATAGGTGCTCGTAAATTTAGAAGCAATTGCTCGCCGTTTTTTGAGTTGAAGCATTTTTATTCACGCGCTTTTCTCATATGTGAGCAATCGCTAAACATTTGAGCAAAAGCTCATGAGACTTTTTTTACATTAAAATGCTCTTTCGACTACACTATATGGGTATATATATATATATATATATATATATATATATATATATATATATATATATATATATATATATAATACATATATATATATATGTATATATATATATATGTATATATATATATATATATGTTTATATATATATATATATATATATATATATATATATATATATGTATATATATATATATATGTATACATATATATATATATATATATATATATACATATATACATATATATATATATATATATATATATATATATATATATATATATATATATATATATATATATATATATATATATATATATATATATATATATATGTATATGTATATATATATATATATATATATATATATATATATATATATATATATATATATATATATATATATATATATATATATATATATATATATATATATATATATATATATATATATATATATATATATATATATATACTTATATACAATACCCAAGTAGCAAACAATATTGGCGTAATATTGGCACGATATTGGGTATCTTGGCTAATCTTGGCCAAGATATCCGATATTGCGCCAATATTGTCAAGCAATATTACGCCATAATTGTCTTACCAATATTAGCAAAAAATATTGCGCCAATATTATCCATTATCGTTTTACTGATATTGTTATGCCAATGTTGGCGAAATATTGCGCCAATATTATCCCATTATCGATTTACTGATATTGTTATGTCAATATTGGCGAAATATTGTTTGCCAATATTGGCTTTATAATAAATTTAACATATTGGTACGCATGCGTAACATTAAGGAATATTCAAAATGTCCTTTAGTTTTGTTAAATGTGTTTAAATATAAATAATATCATCTTTTTACATAAACAGGCATCCTATATTAATTTTTTTGCAAAAACAAATAAGAGTTCAAAATAAAAATTTTAATTTATGTAAAGAGAAGAAGTAGGAAATGAATTTTCAATTCAACATTTACAGAGTGAATCAGGAGAAGAAGTGTTAGTAATTTATTTTGAAACAGATTGTATCACGAGAAGAAGAGGTAAGAGTAATAAAATTTTTTTATTCAACATTACGAATTGAGTTACGAGATGAAGTGGTTGTAATTAATTTAAAACATATTGCATCACGAGAAGAATAGGAAAAATATTGCTATACTTAAGTATCAAGATTAAAATAGTAAGTTTACTCTTAAATGAAAACACTTTGAGAAGATTTCATCTATAAAATATAAGTTTTATAGTCTATTTATTTTGTAAAAGTGATTCGTTTAAGAAATAAATACGTCATTATTATTGTTTCTAACTGTTGTAAGATTTTAATTTACGAAAAAGTTACCCCTGCTTGACACATAATAATATCAATAATATTTATATATATATATATATATATATATATATATATATATATATATATATATATATATATATATATATATATATATATATATATATATATATATATATATATATATATTTGACCTTAGTTGGGCCCCCCATTATTAATTTTTATGATATATAATAAAGATTTTTCTGATTTGGTTTTAGATGTTGTATCTGTATTTACAGATGATACTAAGTTATACAGTTTGCTTTTTAATAGCTCACCATGCAATAATATGCAATAAAGTATGGACATTATAGCAAACTGGGAAAAACTATGAAAACTATGAAAACCCTTAGGACCAACAAATACAATATTTTCCCTTAGGACCAACAATGCGCTTAGGACCAACAAATACAAAATTCATTTATATACTTGTTTAAAAAAATCTCAATTAAAAACTCTCTCGTCAATAAAGGGATCTTCATTGACAGGATTTTGACTTTTATTTTGTAAGTACTAAGAATAACACCGATAATAAAGTTGTAGAAATGATCAAAAGATCATTTGTCAATCTCAATATCTTGACATTTTGTACTTTGTTTATTTTCCTTGTTCATCCTCACTTTGATTCTTGCAGCTCTTTCTACTATCCTAGACTTTAAAAAGATCAACAAATAATTTAAAATGTTCTATGCTAGTCTAGTAAGTTTGTTTTTGGCCAGACTGGACTCACTTACAACCAAAGACTACTGAGACTAAATTTAACTAGCATGAGCTATCATTTCTTATCCAATAACATGGCTGAAACTTACAAATGCATTCACAATCTTTATAATTGTAGTTGCAACCCTTTTGTTTCCTCATAAAATACCATTCTGTATTTTATCTATCAACACCTGTGTCAGAATGATGTCATCTGCACAGCCATTATATTTATTATTGTAATTACAGACCATTAAGTAGTTAATCTGGGTTGTAATAGCATGCGTGTTAATATGGCCACTTCTTAATATTAATATAAGATTATATATTTAGTTAGTATTTATTCCTCCATTATGACTAACTCCCACTTAACAACATGCGATCATGCTTATAAATTGAAAAAAATGTTTTGTAAGACAGATGTCCTGAAAAAACTTTTCAAATATGGAATTCACAAATTTGTAGAATAGTCTACCATCTGAAATAGTGTTCAACATCTGTCACGACATTAAAAAAACATCTAGATGCATCTTGGATTCATTAAATGTACAATTGCAAAATGGTAAATATTTACTTAGAGCCTCAAGTTGTTTATCTTCCTTAATGTCATATTTAAATAAGAAAATATTATCATAGAAACCTTTCCAAACCGCGCAAACTTTAAAATTCATATTTTTCTTACTAACCAATAATTACTCTAATTGCAATAAAAAGCGATTACATTAAACATTAAGAAATGAATCTATATTTTCAGTTAAAAAAATAATAATAATCTCAAAAAAGAAAGTTATTCTGAAGTTTTTTTATATCATAAATTTATTTGTGATTATTTTTTAGCTGATGCACCGTTAAACTGAAGGTGGTAATAAAGTTGACAAAATTTGCTCTGGCTGAATTTTTCAATGAAAAAACAATATGTGTGCTATGAATGTAATCTGTTTTTCATGGCGTATCAATGAAAGTTTGGTGTATTGGCCAAATCACTTGCAAGCATCTTGCCTTTAAACTGCCATACGTAAAGTCACGCTTTTAAAAGTAACTGAAAGCAGCTGAAAGTAAGAATTTTTTGGTAATTGTCTTATTTACAATATTGTTTTTGTTTAATTTACAGTATTGTTTTTGTTTTTATCTAAACAGCTATGTTTGACTCAAATATAGTAAATGTTGATTGTTTAGTATGGTTTCATCTCTTTTTTATACTTTTTTTTAACAGTTTTGAGACTGCTTTAGAATGGAATTATCTGTGCCTCCAGCTTAAAAAGATGCAGATTACAAAAAGTGACACTGATAAGATTGTCTCTCAGTTTCTCAAAGATTAAAGAAATCTTTAGTGTTTTAGGGTTAAGTGATTCTATTAGAGCTTTGCTTGACTATCTCCGGTTATAGATGAAAAAAGATCCTTTAAACCTAAAAGAAGAATTATGGAACAAAGACACCTTATGAATCAATAGTATATATCAGTGAATTGATATTAGTTAATAGTTTTTGGAAACAGTACGATGTACTGTTAAAGTTTCTAATTTTTAAATTATATGATACATTTATATGAAACATGCAAACAAATGATACAATATGATACGTGATTGACTATAATTATGTTGTATATCAGAATATTTTATATAAATGCTTATTACATTTTATTGTGATTTTTATCTTTTATGCCCAGTTAGCAATGTATTTTGTGTAGCAATGACTACTAATCTCAGATATCTTTGACATCTGTAGGGTGTATTTACCGCTACAGATGTCATAATTTATTTATAACCAATTGCTTTTACTCTTCCATAATGTCATATTTTAACAAGAATCAAATTATGGAAAACCGTCTAATATATACACATGAGGAACCATTATGCTTTTAGTACAACCAATTGTATTACATTTGTACTTTCTTACTTCGGTTGGAGGAGATGAAACAACTTACAGCGGCAATCTTAATACAGCTAATGGCCAAAGAAGTATGTTTTTCATACTCAGTGTATGGAATGAAACAAAAACGTCCTGCAAGGTCGTTATAGGTAAAGCACAATATTTGTATTTTACATCCCATTTTCTTTTAATAAATAAATATTTTAATAAAAGCTAATTATTTTACAATACTTTTACGTGAAAAGTTATATATTTCAAAATTATATTGTGATGATATTTAAAAAACATTTTGTAGAGTTGCGTTTAGTCGTTTACGTTGTATTCGTTCATTTCAAAATCGCTTCTGACAAAAGTGTTAAAGAAAAAATTGGCAGCTTTCTGGAGAAACACTCTCTTATAGCCTGCTGCTACAAGGGAGTGTTTCTACATTGACTATCTTATAACCTGACTCGCAACGGAGTGCTGCTACATCGACTGACAAATAGCCTGACTCGCAAGGGAGTGCTGCAACATCGACTGACAAATAGCCTGACTCGCAAGGGAGTGCTGCTACAACGACTGACAAATAGCCTTACTCGCAAGGGAGTGCTGCAACATTGACTGAGGGTTTGGTTTGGGCAGGCAGTCTATCATTTTAAAAAAAAGAAAAATTTAAGTTTTTAACCTTTTTCTGGTTTGGTATATTTATATATATATATATATATATATATATATATATATATATATATATATATATATATATATATATATATATATATATATATATGATATTTAAAAAACATTTTGTAGAGTTGCGTTTAGTCGTTTACGTTATATATATATTTACATATATATACATATATATATACATATATATATATATTTGTATATATATATATATACATATATATATATACATATATATATATATATATGTATATATATATATATATATATATATATATATATATATATATATATATATATATATATATATATATATATATATATATATATATATATATATATATATATATATATATATATATATATATATATATATATATATATATATATATATGATATTTAAAAAACATTTTGTAGAGTTGCGTTTAGTCGTTTACGTTATATATATATTTACATATATATACATATATATATACATATATATATATATTTGTATATATATATATATACATATATATATATACATATATATATATATATATGTATATATATATATATATATATATATATATATATATATATATATATATATATATATATATATATATAATATATATATATATATATATATATATATATATATATATATATATATATATATATATATATATATATATATATATATATATATATATATATATATATATATATATATATATATATATATATATATATATATATATATATATATATATATATATATATATATATACGTTAGGGTGGGTTGAAAATAAATAAAAGTGTGATTTTTATGAAAAAAACCAGAAATAGTTATAAAAAAATAAAAATGCTTTCCAGAAAGAGCCCCATTTTTGTCTCCGAAAGTTTGCCAATGCCAATGCTGTTTTGCATAACCAATAGTATTACCGCGCCGCATTCCTTTAACTTTGTCTAAACTTGATCAAACCAGTTAATACGCTCGCATTTAGTATTATTCTGAATCTGGAATAACCCATCGTTGCTTATTTTTAGTTAATGAACAAACAATCTTATTATTTGACATTATGGCTACACGAAAGCTGATAAGACAAGCGATATTTAGTTAAAGTTGTGATTTGCCACAATATGTTCTACCAAATAACCTTTAAAATGCAAGGAGGTTTTTACAATTTAAAGAAAGGCAAAATGATTTTAACAAATACAAATAAAAAGTCGCTGCTAAAGATTTTGAGGAACTATGGTACAAGACTTTATTTTCAGCTTTGCAGAAGCAGATGTTAACTTTAGACAAAGGTGTCTTAGACTAGCCGTATTCCAGACTAACTGTATCTCTATCGCATAGTTTATACAATTAAAAGTGGTATTGTGTCTAATAATGTGTCATCGACAAAATCAGGAGTTCTAAATTATGCAAAGTGGTTGACACTGACCCAAAGAGTTTGCCAATTGTATATTGCCACTCAGAACTCTAAAACAATCTTTGTATAATCACACACTTTATAGAAGCAACTACGGTCCAAACTGATTTGCTATTAAAAGATTACACCTGTGTACCAATGGTACAAAGCATGTTTACTTAGCAACTCAGCTTTTGAAGGATCTTTGCAGTGATACTGTTGCTACTGTGAAGCAGTGCCGGATCAAGGGGAGGTTAATGGGCTATAACCCCGGGCCCCGCAAATTTAGGGGCCTCCAAAAATTTTAGCGGACCTTTTTTATTTTTTGTCATTTTTAAGCTCTGGCCCATAAAAAGGTCTCCAAAATCAAAAATACCCCCGGGCCCCAAGAAGTCTTAATCCGCCACTGCTATGAAGCCATACATAAGTTGAAGTGTATACTTTCCTCCTTGTGAAAACCTGTTCCTTTTAATTTTTGTGGACTAGAATGAGGCAATTTCTCCGTTGTAGAATGAAGCAATTTCTCGCAGTTTAAATTAAAAAAGGATTATGCTGACAACTTTGTAGATAATTGACTTAATAAGTATTGTGTACTTATATTCTGATACTCATATAATTTTGTAACGAGTGATTGATTAAGTTCTGTTAAGTTAGATGAAATATAAACAATATTACAACTTTCAGTTTTTCAGACTTTGAAGCGATAATGGCAAAACTTCAAAATAAAAAATGGGTACATATATATAAAATATTAAAATAAAAAATGGGTACAAATATATATATATATATATATATATATATATATATATATATATATATATATATATATATATATATATATATATATATATATATATATATACATATATATATATATATAAATATATATATATATATATATATATATATATATATATATATATATATATATATATATATATATATATATATATATATGTATATATATGTGTATATATATATATATATATATATGTATATATATATATATATATATATATATATATATATATATATATATATTTACTTATTTATTTTTAACTCCCCGCCCACCTAATTTAAGTATTTCTAAAATTATGGCAAAAAGGACTAAAATCATGCTTGATAATCAACTATGTTCTCATTTTTAACAATTTTCTTGTTTAGTTTAGTTTAATATAACCTCATCAGGGACGGATCCAGGAAAAATATTGACTGTAGCAAAAAAAAACCAGAGGACCGTAGCAACAGTGGCGTGGCTAGGTGACAGAGGACCTTTTTTTTTTTTTTTTTAAGATTACTCTGTTTGTCTAGAGGGGTGATAAAAATGTTTACCGTTTACCAAATGTGTACCAACACCATTGCTTAGCAAGTTAAATGAAATAATGAAATTGTAAAAAAATACTAGAAATGATGGTCATTTATCTTATCCAAAACCTACACATTTTCTTTTTTTACAACAAAAAATTATTACAAACTTTTAATTTAAAATCTTTTCAATTTCTAAACATTCAAAAATGTTTCAACTAATATTTCAACGTATTATTGATTTTACTTAAATTGTTAAAATTTCAGCTCAATTTAAACGATAGCGATAGTCTAAAAATGTAACTAGTACCAATACAGGTAGACAAGGCCTCCCTGTGTATATTTCTTGCCTGCAGATCTTCTTATAATTGATATAAGTAGATTTGTAATATCTTCATTTAATGAATATTTTTTTGTATAGTCTTATAACACCGACAGACAATTCTGGAGTGCCTAACTCTAGACAAATTTTTAATTACTGGGCTGTAGTAAAAGCGTAAAAAAAAATCAATTCAAAAATTTCAGAGGCACCAAAAACCTAACATATAATTCTGTACCTCAGAAGGCAAAGGTCGGTTGTCACGTTTAGAAAATTGTTTAGGAGAGAGGAAATAGTAAAATAATTAGTTCATATATCAAATAAATGAAATCGTTAAAAAAGTATTTAAAACCAATGACGCGAAATAAACTTTAGTTTAGTGTAAATAAAAGAAATCATTAACATATATATTTAAATAAATATTTTATTGGGCAACATTATTGAAATGAACTTGAAAGTAAAAAATAAATATATATAAAAACTTTAAAGGTGAACGGCGTTCCGGGGCGTTTGAGGGGAAAAAACGCACTGCAATATTTTAACTGCAAAAACCTGTTTTTAAGGTTACTCGTAAAAAATTTTATTCTCACCTTAATTGTATTCAATATCCTATACTGCTGGCTAATGATCAATAAAGTTAAGTTTAAATCATGAAAATTCACTAAATTCAAACCATATTTCAACAGTAGGCAACTAATACAAAATAATGGC